CTCTACTCCCAAACAATTCATGGAGAAACACACAGTAAAGGTGACACATGAGGAAGGCAGAGTATAGGACTGTAGAGAAGAAACCAGTATTCCTTAAATTCGGATTTAAAGGTGATGAAATTGGAGAAAGAGAATCTTTAAAAATTAAGTAAAAAAACCCTGACAATCCATACATTTTGATGGGATTGGTCAACTACAACTATAACGGAACTAAAAAAAGGGGAGGATACGAATATCTAAGCCATAGAAGAAGAAGAAGAGTAGTGAACATGTTTCACATGCACGTAATCTGTTCATTGTATATATATCCTATTCTCATGAAAGAAATGAAAAAAATAGTAAAGGGAAACAAAGAAATTATCGACAGCTGAAAGGGTTAAGCAAAGGTCAAACAAAATCTATTCGCAGCGCTATTCTGGCGCATCTTGTGGAGACGGAACACAAGATTGACGTTAATCATGCTTTCAGGGTCATTTGCCGCATACCTACGAATCTCAATTTCGCTTTAAGAGTTCGACTTCTAAATATTGCTGAGGCTGTGGGGATTCATATTAATAAGTCTAATTTATGCACCCAAAAGAAGTTAGTTCAGTCATTATCATTACCTTGGCCATCCAGGTTTGAATAATCCAGAATTTTTGTGAAATTTCCCTAATTTTAGTTGATATTCTATTCGCTGTTAGATCTTTATTATTATTATTATAATTTAAGCATCTTTAATGAACTGCAATAGCATTGACCATACTTTACAAATCGATATTATTTAAAAAAACGCTAATATTGTTATTAACTACTAATTTAAAATATTCTGTGTATATAAACATATATATAAATTGTAGAGCCTGGAAGAGGAATTTATCGAAAAGAATATTCTTTGCTCGATTATTTTGTGTTTTATAGATGTCTGAATGAATATTTTTGCAATATTGAAAGGGAACTAACGAAAATGAGAATACTAAGTCGGAGTGATGATGATATCCAGCTTGACTGTATCTTCTCTGTATCATCTCTCACTGTCAAACTCTTCTTCTCAGAGAGCTCCAACACATCTTCAATACAGTGTTGAAATTAATACTTCATCTATTGTTATCGTTGTTGCTTTCACTTCGAGGAAAACTTGTTTCTCGATTTATCTTCATTTCTGTTGTGTGTTTTTTTGTCATAACACGTTGGTGCATGTGTGCGTGTGTGTATATTATTCAACGGAAGTTTCGTTATAGGCATACATACACACAAACAGAGGGAATAGAGTCAACTGTATGAACTCATAGATAAGGAAGACTATATTAATATAACATTAAGCGCAAAAGTTTGCTAGGCAAATTATATATATTATATATACACGTCAACTTGCGTTCTCGCATATACGGTACTCACGCAACCACACGCACACACACACAAACAAACATATATGAAAATAACACAAATGCATATTAGTGAGATAATCTAATTAATTCTACGAAAAAAAAGAGGAAAACTTCATGCAAACTAAGAAAGAAAGAAAGAAAAGGGAAATGACGCAGAAAAATGTTACACAACAACAAAGAAAAAATTAAATTAAAAACAGCGGAATAATAGGCATGTGTAGGTATGTTTGTCGGCAGCGAGAGAGAGTAATAAGCAAATGACTGTATGCGTGTATGGGGGTGTGTGTATGTGTGTTGGCTTGTGGACAGATGGACATTATTATTATTATTACTACTGTCAATATGTATACAAAAATACACAAACAGACAAGCAGATCATAAAAGGTTTCCTTTGATAAATTCTAGTTTCCGATACATGTGGAAAGCAAAATGAATCAATAAGAAGGCAGGGGAAAACAAACAGGTCTTTTTTTTCTTCAAAGAATTCCACATGACTTATATCGAGATGCCTGGATTGTTCAAAGAACAGTTGACTGAAAATTTTAGACCCCGCAATTTGTACTCATCATTGAGATGAGATACGACATGTCATATTAAAACAATTTTGTTATATGCCGTAATTAATTTTGAGTACATTTATTATTGCTATAATATCATAAGGTTTTCCTAAAAATGAATCTTCAATTTCTATTGTACGATAAATCAACTGACGTGTTAAAAGCTTCACTAACAGAAAGGTGGAAATGGTAGGCTTAAATCCGACCAAGTATCAAGAAATTGAAATGTAGAGAAATCTCAGAATGTAAGAATAAAACTTGGGCACTGTGGTAGAGTGTAATTCCATTGTGGGTAAATTTTGTTTTGATAAAGTCTCACAGTGTTATACAGTAATATTTACTGATGACGTTTCGAGCACAATTTATTGCTCATAATCATATCAAGGTAATCACATGACTTCCTAAATTCATTTATATAGTTCCATTGTTTTTCACTTGATTTTCACTTGATTTGATTGGTAGTATTATTTTCCATATTTCAGGTATGAGTGATGATTCATTCCTATTGCATGTGTTGGGTGTAGATTCACTCGATGAACAAGGATTCAGTAATCAACCTCTCTCTCCACCTACCTAGATTACTTTTTAGAATTTTAACCCTCTCCCACCCTATTGTGTGGTTGTGTGTTAATGCATGCATTGCAATTGCTGAGCTTTTTTCTAAATTACTTATCTTCTCTGGGTCAACCATTCTTACCTTAGCTAAATTCTTATGTTCTGACAATCTGACTACCCCTGACCTACTAGTTTGACCTATGTAGTTGACCTCACAGTCATTGCAGGGTATTTTGTAAATTATATTATTTTGTCTAATTGGGTCCACTGGGTCCTTTAACCTACACAGCTTGTCCCTGAGTGAGTTTGTAGGTTTAAATGCCGCCCTAATTCCTGCTTTATTTAGAATCCTACGTAGGGTCTCAGATGTCCTCTCTTTATATGGTATAACTGTAGATGACTTATATTCTCTCTTATTTATGTTCTTATTACTAGTTTCACAATTATTTTTCTTTTTCTTTTGGCGTTTTTCAATCTTCCTAATGAATTTTAGAGGATAGTTATTTAAAACCAACGCCTCTTCTATCTGTTTTATTTCATCATTTAGGTCTCTTTTTTGTGCTACTTAGTGCCATTGCTCGGTTTGTTAAACACTTAACTAAGCCTGCCTTAACAGTTAAAGGATGAGATCAGAATGAGATCTCAGAATGATGCTTTATAGATATGCTTAGGGATCTCTGGTTAGTAAAGTGTTATTCAGATGAAGTATTCAGGTATTGAAAATGCTTTCTTTTATTTAGATGAACCTGTCCACACCTCAAAAGATCTAGCTAGTGAGCATGAAAATTCACGTTCACCATACAACAAAATTCATCCTAGAAATAAAGACTGAAATTATTCACGGAAACCTTTATTGTTAAACAGTAATGATAGAGGTAGTTGAATTGTTTTCTGAATAGTAAGTATACATGGGACCGAGACCTTCACAGACTATTAGTCTGATAATCCACTACACATTCTAGAGCTAACTTGTACACAAAATAAACTTCATTTCAAGGTCAACTATATACTACTGATTGGTCGAGGTGAGTAGTAGTATAGCACTCCTAATAACCAGTGGTGTTTGTGAACCGGATAGAATTGATCTAAATACCGGAGGGCCGTTTCGTTCATCTGGAATTGAGCTCATCAGCGGTGTGCCACCCAGTTTGACTCAGCTCCGAAAACCGAATCAGTTCAAAATATTCTCCGATGATCTATGTCTGATTTCCTACAAACTGGAAGATATGCAAGTGAAAAGCAACAAGTTGGCAGAAGAAGCATCAAAGATAGGACTTCAGGTGAACATTGAGAAAAGAGAGGTAGGTGATGAAGATTCCTGGTCAACAGCAACAGCAACAACAACAGACAACAATCAGCATAGATGGGAGAAATCTGAAAGAAGCAACCTCCTTCAACTACCTACCTAACTACCTGGGAAGCATCGTTTCAACTACAGGCGGAACTGACGAGGATATCAAAGCAAGGATCGGGAAAACAAGACAAGCTTTCATTACTCTCAAGTCTGTTTGGAGGTCAACAGCACTCAGCATGAAAAATAAGATCCGGATTTTCAACTCCAATGTGAAGTCAGTGCTACTTACTATACGGATCAGAGACTTGGCGTGTCATAAAGAGCACTTCAAACAAACTACAGACCTTCATCAACAGCTGTCTTCGCTCAATCCTTCGCCCAAGATCAAACGGCCAGAAAACATCAGCAACAGGGATCTCTGGAAGCGAACCAACCCAGCAGGAACCGATTGTGAAACAAATAGGCAGGAAGAAATGGAGATGGATTGGCTGGCCATACTCTGAGGAAACCATCAAGTGACATCACTAGACAAGCCATTGCTCGAGTGGAACCCGAAAGGGAAGCGGCGAGTTGGTCGTCAATGCAAGGGTGACTTGGAGGAGGTCATGTGAAGAGGAGATAAAAGCATGTGGGCAGACGTGGAGCCAGGTGAAAACCTTGGCGGAGAACCGAACGCAATGGAGACGTGTGGCTGAAGCCCTATGTTCCTCTAGGAATTAAAGGAAACAATAATAATAATGGTAATAATCATAAAATTCAATTTCTGTCTAGATACCTAGGCAAATTGGTAATTCCATAAATTAAATTCACAACTTGTAAATTAATTCGCGATTCCCCATTTACACAGTTCGAGGTGAAAGCTCAAAACAGAGAAACGGCCGTCTGGTGTTTACATCACTTCGATCTGGCTAGCAAACACTACTGATTTCGTATGAGTGGTATAGAACTACTCATTTCAATCAATAAGTAGTATATAGCCTGTTGATTACCACTTATAGTATCAAGTAGATCACATATTTTGATATGAATAATTTCGGTTGCCAAGGGAAACTGTGGTGGTGGAATTTCATCTGGAACTGTGTAAAATTGCAAATTGTTAATTTGATTCAGCATTAATAGTCGATAGTTCAAAAATGTTCACACACACACGTAAATTCATATTAAAAGGTTAGTGCGTATAAAAAAGCCAGAAACTACTACTACTAATACTACTACAATAACACATACCTTGTTTATTTGTTTCTGGATCAGCAGCCGATAGTGAATTCTGGAATAAATTTACATCTAGATGATTGTTCTGCTCATGTGAATCACCTGAGTTAGAATTCCCACCCACCGATTTCGTCGGTGAATCAACCTCTTCATTATTTGCTAATAAAGATTCCGGTTGTACAACAGCTGTATAAGAGAGAGAATAAGTAAAATTATACCGGGTGTTAGCTTTGTAGCAGTAGAAATAATTAATACAGTAGGATGTAAGCAGTCAGTGGTATACGTCATCCAGTTGACTGATGAATCAACGTGGAACTTTGCACAAAAGTGTATCCGTTCAAGTTAATACACATCAGTAGAACAGAGACAACAGGAATAGACAAACAGGTGTCAAAGAGAAGCTGGTGAAAAGTATATATATATATATATATATTATGCACCAGTGTAAACGGTTTCGAACAATATAACCAAAAGTTGGAGGATTTCATCATGAGGTGACATCAGTTAGAGAACCATTGGAAAACCTGCAGGGAGTACTGGACATCTGTTTCGTCCTAATTTGAAACTCCTCATCAGTACGCACCCATCGCCAGAGTTCGAACCCGGGACGTTCTGGTTACAAGGCTAGCGAGCTCGTAGACCATTAAGCCACTGGGACCCGATCCAACCAAAAGTCTCCAATCAATGACACTTAGCAAGATAGAACACTCATTTTATCTTGTTTTTGAAACAACTGACTGATCAAATATGTCTGCCATTCAAAGTAGACAGTTTGTTATTTAAAAATGTCAGCTAACTGACAAAGTAACGTCAGTATACTATCTTTTGATCAACCATTCCACATAATTCACTGAATGATGACACCTCTGGTTGTTATAAGTATAAAACTTTGGGCACTGTGGTAGAGTATAACTCCATTATAGATAATATTTTATTTTGATAAATCACACAGTGTTATACAGTAATATTAACTGTTAATATTATAATATTAATATCAGTTAATATTACTGTATAACACTGTGTGATTTACCTCTGGTTGTTTTAATTCGTGAATTTTCAAGTGTCAGATAAAACACGTGTCATATCTTTGTGGTAAGTGTCGTAAGGAGTGGATCAAATTAGGAAAATTCCTCCACTAACACCTTCGGACCTCCCAAAACAGAGAACAGAACTGAAATAATAACAACCTGCCAAAGACAATCAGTTTCCGTCTTCTTTGCATCGCAGAAGCCCTAGCCACTCAGTTGAAAGAACCAGAACTATGCATACAAAAGAAAATTATCCAACCACTTCTACTATCATGGTAACAACTCTGTTGATTTGACTTAATTTTTGTTTGTTTGCTTGTTTTTTTCAAACTACTTAGAACTCTTGTATTCCTTTGAAACTCTTACGTAATTCCGTGTTTTATTTTTGTTTTCATGTGCACCCTGAGCATAACGCTTTCATTAAAATATTCATGTTACTACGTTACTCTTCCTTAACAATCGTTTGTGACAACTCATCACCTTTGTTACTACCCTCCTGTATCAACATCTAATTCCTCTGAACGCTTTTTGTATTTCGTAACTCCACCAAAAACTTACTAATTTTCACCTCCTTAGTTACAACAACCCTAGCCAATTGTATTTTCGTTTGACAAATTTAATGTACACACACACACACAAAAAATAACCATATATATTTGCGACTATACAGCTGTGAAAATGAATTCGCCAAAAAGAGACTCTTCCCTGAACCACTGGTCTTCTCTCTATTAATGTTCGAATGGGGATTTTTCATGAATAGAAAAGATGTCAGGCTCAGGATGAGAACAGAAATGATTTTGTGCTCTCCTCCAAGTTCTGATAACTGATTGAGGACGTTCCATCACCACGCTTGGTGACATCTTCAGCCCTAACTTTATTAAAATGTCTGCTGTCAGTATCTCCAATCATATGAGGTGATATTTTATTCCCTTTTTTATACGAATAGTGGTCTATATCTAACATTTCGTGAGAGGAATAGTTAGTTGTTCTACGGGGATAACTCTCAGATGAGCGAAATCCCCTCATTTCAAAGTACACAGAAACACGCATTATACTCAAAGATCTTCAAATAAATATACAATATTTGTTGCTCAGGCTGGCGTCGAAAACTGTCACTTGATAAACCTAATCAGAAAACACTACACCAAACCAAAGAATAAACACACAGTGCCGGTTGCCTTATCCGCAATTACTTTTGAAAAAAGAAAAATCATCCCATTATATTTTAGCCTGTCTTCTTTCGCTACATATTACCATGTGTAATGGTTCTCTCTCTAACTGATGTCAATGTGTGATCAAACCTGAAACAAGTCGAATCCCTACAGACTAATACTTGAAAATAAAATTGACTAAATCTCATTTGAATGGAATCACACAGAAATAAAACGGCTAACCAAGTCATGTTTGATAGATACCGCCACCGCCACCCGTCGATGGATTGGACCGGTCTCAGGTTGACATGTCGGCTCCTTATGCAGATGCTTCGACGATGTCTGGTTATGTAACCTGAAGTCAATTGGTGGATGGTGACTAGCAGTGGAATCCAGGATGTGCATTTCTTCCTTATTTTGGACTCATCATCTGGGTCCAAACTGAATTAAATAATAACTACTACCCCCTGCACAAGAGGTGGCTGTCGTGGCCCAAGTGGTCTAGTAGATAACGCTTTGGTGTTTGAAACTATGGGCACTGGGTTCGAGCCTCAGTGGGAACACCATCACTCACTGGGGAATGCAGGCATATCCAGCTGGCAAGTCCCGAATAGGACGAAATGCGCATCCTGGATTCCACTGCTAGTCACTATCCACCAATTGGCTAAAAGTTATAACAATTACACTAAAGGAGAACGAATAATAACTGTAAGCAAGTATTTTAAAGGTGTAAATATAGTTGTCTACAGCCTGTTTGTGATATTCTCAGGATAAGTGAGCAATTACAGCTAATTACTAAGGTATGGGGAGAACACCTTCGACCATCAAATTATATTACTAGCAGTGATAATAGTAGTCACTCATTTTTGTTTTACATTTAACAGTATGTGAGGAGAATAATTAAAGGGAATAACTAATATAGGATATCCATCTTTTCACTCTTTTGTCACAGAAAAAGAATATGTCTGAAAAATAATTATGTCTTTATGTCTGTATTTATGTATTGTCGTCTAGACTTGATATAGGGAGTTAATACATCATATATAAAGATGAAAAAGCATACAATTTCATACTGACGCTGTTATGTGTCCATTAACGTAAGCAGTAACACACAGCTTTAAGATAAACAGTAAGGAATTTGGATTATTAAGAATCAAGGTTAGATCACATAATAACAATTTAGTAACATATACTAAGTTAGTTGTGCAATAATCTTTGGGAAGTAGGAAAATACTAATGAAAAATTTTACGAGTTGATCACGGACTGATATCAGTTAGAGAACCATTGAAAACCAGGGAGTACTGGACAGCTGCTGTTTCACCCTAGTTTGGGAATCATCGGCAGTACGCACCCACTGGGATTCGAACCCAGGACCTTCCGGTTACAAGGCAAGCTCGTATACCATTCAGCCATTGGGACCCGATTCAACGGCTCATGAATTCTAACTTCTACCAATGAAAAATTACTATACAGAGTTAGTTTGTCCTGAAAATGGACCAAGTTAAACTTTAAGCACCACTAACTACTATCAATGGAGTGCGACCACACCAATGACCGTGAAACGCTCACTGAGCAAGTTAGTGAAACTTGGCAAATAATGTTGTCATCATCAATAAAATATGCTCATCGAAGTGTCATGCTATTAAATGGGATATCTGGCAAGTTTCAGCTTAGGTTTGGGAAAGATTAAGTTACGCTTTAAGCCAAGGACAAGTTAGCGTTAGGTTAACCTAATAAAGGCGACATTAGGGTTGGTTCGAGTTAGATTACAGTTAGTTTAGGTATATTTTCACGTTAGGGTTAGGTTCAAGAAAGATTAGAGTTAGGGTTAGAAGACCCAAATAATTACATGCATAGAATGTGGTTAAATTACTCTGTTGATATAAGAATAGAACTTGTGCATTGTGGTAGAGTATAATTCCATTGTGGGTAAAATTTATTTTGATAAAGTCTCACAGTGTTATACAGTAATATTTACTGATGACAACGTTTCGAGCACAATTTATTGCTCAGGAAATATTACTGTATTACACTATGAGACTTTATCAAAATAAATTATACCCACAATGGATTTATACTCTATTGATACTCCAACCTAAAACTGAGAGCTATTTTTATCACACTTGAGAGGAAGGTATCCTCTGTAACACTTTTCCACAGCTTTTATGCATTTTTTCATAAATATATGTATTCCATACACAAAAATGCCTCCTTCACGTGATTGGTGCGTTCGAGGTCATTCGCTGATTGGTAGTTAGTGGTGCTTAAAGTTTAACTTTGCCTGAAAATGGATATAGAGACTGCAAATATTCTAACCTGCACCTGCTCAACAGTTGATTTAGTTAGTGAAATGATATTATGAGGGAGTATTTGTATTTGCCCTACACATAAGCAATTACATAACTCTCTCAGTCTAGAATGACTACGCTTTGATGTCGATGGTTTTCAACTACTCATATCACTCACTACAGTAGTATATATTAACCCTGCTAAAATGACTAAGGCATTGTTGGTTAGATTGAAACATCAAGCATCTATTTCATACCAATTTGATACTTCTCTCCCAGTGGAAAGAAGTAGGGGGAAATTCATTTCAAAAAATGAATTTATTATCTAAGGTTTGAATAACTAGTAAAAGCAACTGAGGATATATTGGATGTCATTTTTCAACTACCAGAAATTTATACCTTTCAATACACTTTCCTCTAACAATAATCTACCCTCAATTTAGACAACTTTCAAAATCACTTACAAACAAAACGCACCAAAGTAATGATAGTTGCAGCATATTGTCTTATACATTCATCCAGAAGATATTAACACAAGTACAACTCCTCTCTGAAGTCTAGCTACCTAGACCTAGTTCTTCCTTTATGAATCTAAACCTAGGTAAGAAATTGCTTTTAGAAAAGAGTGAATTACTCTGTCACTGCTCTATAATTATTGAAATTAGGATTTATGACTACCTGACACATTTAGAGATAATTATAACTCAGGAAATAAATTAACCGATGGTTATCTAGAAGTATAATAAGTTCGATCACAAATGCGTCGGTGGTACAGAGGTTAGGAAGCTCGCCGACCATGCACATGGTCTAGGGTTCGATCCCCCGTCGACGCACACCTGATATCAATGGTCGGCCTGCTAAATTTGGGCTACCGATATTACTTGCTGAAAATTCCATAATTGTACCAAAATACTGTGTGGAATCAAGCTATAATTTAAAAAAAAATGACTTCACTTAGAGAACCGAGGAATACTGGGGCAGCTGTTACGCCCTAGTCTGGGACTCTTCGAAGGTGCGCACCCATGACCCCACCGGGGATCGAACCCAGAACCTACAGGTTACAAGGTGAGCCCTTTGACGTAATCCAATGGTCAATAAACTCTAACTTCTTCCAATTCGCGATATTTGGCGCAACCATCAGCCAATGTAATCGGCAAGCATCTGTCCTCACGCCCAACTTGGTGGACCCAGTGGTCACTAGAACTCACCGATGGCATTGGCTGGAAGTTGCGAAATGACAGAAGTTAGAATTGATAAGCTACTGGATTCTGTCCAAGTGGCTGAATGACCAATGAGCTCGTCGTGTAACACGAAGGTCCTGGGGTTCGGTCCCTAGTGAGGTCATGGGTGGGTACAGATGAAGAGTCCCAAAAAGGGCGAAACAGCTACCCCGGCAATCCCTGGTTTTCAGTGATTCTCTAACTGAAGTAATTTCGTGATCAAACTTGAAATCAATCATTGCAAATCAACGCCTGGGAAGTATATTAGTTATGAAGTTTTAAAACTAGTCGTTTTCGTCACAAAATGACTTAATCAAGTAGTAAAACAAGCCGTTTGTTTTCCAACGGACTGGTTGCTTAATTATTTCATCTTTTTCAAATCTTGTTGACAAATCAGGCCGTCGATTATTTTTGTTAAATGAATAGTAGTCGAAATTGCAGAAAAGTAGACCTGGGTTACTATACTGTATAACTCAGAGACCACAAGGCTGGTCAGCCCAGCTCTCCACTTATGAGTTATGAGAACCAACTGTTAAGTGACTGCAGAAAAAATTGAGTGCTGAGCTAATGACCTGAATTCCATCCACTATTTTAAATTCTGCTGCAATCAAGTATCTCAGATTAACTTCAATATTATTATTATTATTATTCTTTTACACCATAATTAATCTGTTAAATCAAAACCAACAAGTAAGAGATTTCTGCTTTCGGTATCTGCTACACACAAAAAACGACACTTAACAGCAAAACTTACTAGAGTTGAACTGTACTTCAGATAACAAAATCCATGAATCACTCGGTGTTAGTGTAAGACTGACATAACGTCCTGTATGACTGGTCAAAGGCATTTGTACAACCAGTGCACCATCCCATTCACGATTACTATAAACAATAGTTTCTTGAGTTAGTGTACTGACTGAATTCGGTGATCTCTTTACTCTTGATGTATGCATATCAGATATTGATAATTTTGTTGAACTGATTTGATTAGGATCAACCATACGTGCACGACTAGTTAAAATTTCAACTGGTTTACCGAAGCTCTTTCCATCCATACTGAACTCGACAACAGCTCTTGAAAAAACACGTGATTGCAGTGGGATAGAGTCGAATGTAAATATTCTCAGCCAGATGAAACTTCGTACTGTTGAAAGAAGGAGGGGAAAAAAGAGCTACCATCAATGGAAAGATAAACGATCATTTTAGTTCTCTTGTAAAGTAAAAGGATTAAAAGTTTGAGCAATTATGCCACCCTGTGAACTCGAGTGGTGTATATCAAGCTTATGGTAACAAAGTACAAATTAACCTCAGAGAAACTCCTTTACTGAATCTCCACATGGTAAGTTACACGAATTCAGTGTCAGATAAGTTGATTCAAGAAGGAATTAAAACAGACCATGTTAATTTCTAAAATCCAGTTTGTAGGGGGTTGCGAATCTGAATTCTGTGTTGCTAAATTTGAGGTTCCAGTCAGTATTATTAGGACAAGATATTCAGAAGACAGTTGACCCTTTTCAGTAGTGGGAAACACACCCATGAATTAGCCTTGAGATAGTTTTTATCACCTAATAGCATCAACTAAGATCTACTGAAAGTCTGAGGGCAACAAAGAAGTGTCTGGTTGGAGTTTGTAACGCTTAAAAAATGTACACACTACCGCTGAACAAAAGTGAAACCCAAACACATTCAGATGTTTTATTCAGAGCCATTCATTCATACTCCAGGATTTCCAGAAGTAACATTCCCAACATACAATATGACGCTTACTAATTCCACGATTTGAGGAGTTTGACAGTTGACAGTTAACCAGTGCACCCTACTTTCCGTGGCCTTTTCTCCATTCATACGCGTTCCGACTGGAACATATGGCTTCAAGCTTCAAGTGCCCGTTTGGTTTTTACGGAAAAGGTTTGCTTGCTTCCCAACCAACCTTCTGTCTTCTCCGAGCTTACTACCTGCTAAGCGATGCTTAGCAGTGCGTTGGTAAGGAACCGAACCCGAAGCACGTGTGTGGCTGGGAGGCATTCTACCCCTGAACCACCACATAATCTTATACACTATGCTAATCAGGGATTTAAATTCTCTTGAAATCTGAAAGGAACCTTTGGTTGTTCAAGAGACACAGTAAATAATTGGTATTCATACACTATTGATGTATTCAAGACTTTCTGTTAACTAAAAACATTAATCAAAACAAGGACCAACACATTTGTATAACACCATAAAAGTAAACGCTAGTTCGTTTGACCATCTAGAGAAGTCTTCATTGTGATATCATATTGCATGTGAACAATGATGAATTCATTTGGTTGATGCTCATTTCATCCTATTCGAGACTCATCATCTGGATGTACACCTATCCTGGATTCCACTGTTAACCACCACCAGCAGCAAAATGACATAATTTTAACATCGTCAAAGAGTCCGTACCAGGAGTCGACATGTCAACAGAGATCGGGCATTTCGGTCCAATATACATCAATCGACAGGGAATTCAAATTAGCTTCAACAAAGACGATGAATTCAAATTAATTAAAGTAAATGACGGAGAGAGATAACTGCTGAGCTGATTCTTCACAGCTAGTTCCAAACCATTCAAATAAGGCATAGTTGGGAATTTTAATTGATGGAATATAAGAATAGCATATCCAGGAGTTTTTACATCGACTTTGACGATTACTCATTCAGTTTATTTGTTTTTTCCACCTCAATCATCATCATCATCAGAGAGTAGGAATAAACGAAAATGACTAATTGTAAGCTACGTGTGATTCATTACATTTAAGAGTATCTCCAGGGCTTCAGAATATGTTATCCCTCCGAGGATCATATGCACAGTGATATAGTTTAGAATGCAATCTATTGTTCATGAATACATCAAGATTAATTACTCATTAAGTATAAAAGACACCATCATTACTTACCTTCATCAAATTTAAAGACAATACGTAAATCTCTGTTAGGGATTTGCCATCCAACAAAATGAAAACCAGGTTGAGTAGGATGTGAGTCTGACAGTAGTGTAACATTGCCTAAATAGGCTACATTATCCATCAACTGACCAATTCCACCCATCAGTTGATTATCTGATTCAATTAACTGACCATCATATGTTAAGTCTTGAAAACTATGAGGTACTGAATACAGTGAACCAAATAATGGTCGACCATATGTGACTGTATCACCTTGAGGCATTGAATAGGAAGTGACACCATCTGAAATTGTATGAAGTAGGTTATGATAATGAAATATTGTGAGCGAAAAAAAATGTAGCTAATAAGCAAAATAACCAAACTGTACTATCGACGTCCAGTATACAAACTTCAGAGTTAGCACAGAAACTTGTAGTGATACTAAGATAATAAAAAGGTATGAAGAAGGCGACAGTTTAATGATGAGCAAAGAAGACGTTCTGAATTTCGAGGATCATACATCTACGTCTAAGCCTTCTTAAGTTTCATAGATCAACACTCAGTGCCATTTTTCGAAATGATCACCTCTAACCCCTCTCCAAAGTAATCCTACTTCAGTTAACATCGCTTGTTGAAGAAGGCAGTGGCTAGGCATGCACAATACATGTCTCAGCTATTTGAATAACTAAGGCTTCACAACTCCATCGATTAAATCATCTTCCTGACGTAACATTCTATGTCATCCTGATTTCTGATTATCCTTTAGCAGATAGTACTTGTAAAATAAAGGAGCCATTTTAAAATAAACCATTTAAAAATAAGGAGAACAAAATTTGGTCACCCTCAAAGAAGTAAACCGATGAACTAAGATTCAGTATGCACCGACCAATTGTAGGATCCAGAAAAGTGTCATTAAAAGTAAATCCACTAGGGAACCAGATTAATCCAAGTATTAACTTCCGTTCTTAAATCAGGGTCTGTGTGGATGGATATCAGTATCCGGAAAGGGACATTGTCTTAATCCAACCTAAGGAAAATCACGTCCCCTAGGAGAATCGAACCCGTGTCAAAATTAAACTTTCTAGCTAAATTATTCAGGTTATTTCCGGTTGCTTATATGAGTGAGTTATTAATGTGCATAATAAAAGAAATGAGGTTATTTCCAAAGTGTACAACTCGACGCTAAATTTTACTATGGTTTCCTCCATAGGGATAATGTGTGATCTGCTTGATACTGTAAATATTACCAAGTAATTGGGACTGTTCACACGAAACAATGGGGAACATTCTGTCAGACCGTAGAATGAAAATATGATGGCAACATGACTTTAAAGGATAAATCACTTTCAAAAATGTATCCCCCATAGTAAGACGTTAATTTTATTATTCAACTAATATCCTATGGAAATGTAATTCGAGGACACCAGTCTATATGCAATTACATTTTGTCGATCAGAAGCATATTTGACCCATCATTCCAAAATGAAACGACTTATGATTACGATTACAGCGCCTAACAGAAACCTTAACACTGGAAAGGTAGAGGAAACTTTCTATCGAATCAATCCCACCAAACTGAATGATGTGATCTATCCTCACTACCATCCTCATCTCTTTGGCTTTCACTGTCGGCCAAAACTTTGAATTAATACGTAGACTGTTTGTTAGCTTAAATTGAGACTGTCTTTTCTGCTTGTTATGCTCTACGTATGCACCCATTACTTCGAAAGAAACAGTTTAGTTCCATTAGACTTCCTCATCTTTTTCTGATGGTCACTAGCAAAGTAGAGATAAAACCGAACTTTTCCAAGATGAGTAATTTATCATATTTTGTCCGCAGTCGCAATGATCTTTATCACTGAACAGAGCTTAAAATATTCTTTCACTTGTCGTCTATTATGACCCAGGAAAACATGTAGTCTCTGTCCACTTGTAGATGATCAAAGAAATTCGTCAGTTCAACTTAACCGTAGCTGTTTCACCTTCAACAATCAATTTATTTATCTGTACTGGTTAAATCACATTGCGGACAATTGGATTTTCAGGGGACAAGAGCGCATCTGCTACATTTTGTGTCCTGATATTCTCCTTATACTATCATTAATAAATATATCCTTGAACAGGTATAAGTATTATATTTTCCCTTCGGTATTTGGGGCGTTGCATAGTAGGACGCTCGCCTACCATGCATATGGTCTGGGGTTCCATCCCCGGCCACAGACGCACTCCTTCACCTCGCTAGGCCAGAAATAATGCTGGTGAAGAGGAAAGGTTGGGCATGAGGCTAGCAACCCCATCCCGTAAAATAAACACTGCTAAAGAAACTTCAAGCCACTAGCTTGAAGCCCTATGTTCCCCTGGGGAACGTGAAGGAAAAAAAAATTGGGGCGCATTAAGAGCGGCCGAGCCACCAAGTTAGGTGGGCCAGGCTATAGAGTCAACAGGTAGTGTGGCCAAAGGGAAGGTCTAGCAGGATAGATGGTCACACAGGAATCATGAGCGTTATTTCTACTCCATTTTGGATAAAATTTATTTTGATTAGGTCACAATGTTATACAGTAATATTTACTGATGACCACGTTTCGAGCACAATTTATTGCTCATAATCATATCGAGGTACTCACAAAACTTTCTTGCTTTATTTCTGGTTGAAGCCAACTGGAAACGAGCTCAAAGTCGTTCAAACAGAGTAACTAATTGGCAACCTAGACACATACGTGCTCTACAGAAACAGCAGTCATCCTCCATCGACGTTCTTTAAGGACAACTAGTGTAATCCATCTAACTTCACAATAAAGTTAAGTAACTTCAAGAGTTGGTTTGTAAGGATTAGATTTGTATATACAAGTTTGACCACGGATTGATATCAGTTAGAGAACCATTGAAAACCAGGGAGTACTGGACAGCTGCTGTTTCATCCTAGTTTGGGAATCATCGGCAGTACGCACCCACTGGGATTCGAACCCAGGACCTTTCGGTTACAAGACAAGCTCGTATACCATTCAGTCACTGGGACCCGATTCAATGGCTAGCCCATGAATTCTAACTTCTACCAATTCGTGATTTAGCGCGACCACCAACCAATGTCATCGGCTGAACATCCATTCTCCCGCACTTGACTGGATGGACCTCACTGGTCACAACTTCTCACCAGAACTCCAGGAAACTCCGTCCTGTAGTAAGGATGAAACAGCTGTCCAGTACTCCTGCTGGTTTTCAATGGTTCTCTAACTGACATCAATCCGTGGTCAAACTCGTATAAACAAAGTTAAGTATGTTGATAACTGAATGAGACACTACTATAACCTTAACAGAGTATTTGGTTAGTCAAATTCAGTATATTTGATTCATTCAAAAATTTGTTCACACATGTATATAAAAGGAATGTTAATATAATAGTAATGACATCCGTGTACATTTTGTGAATATATATTTTGTTTATCCTTAACACCGAGCCAACATCTTTCGTTTCAAAATCTCAGGGAATTTGAATCAATCAAATTCGAATTGTAACAGTTAATTTATTTTTGTAAATTATAGACAGCTGTAATATGAGATAAATTTTACCCCGAATATAATATAATATAAATGTTCTGTTAATTAGGCAATATTGGTTTCAGTTCAGGCATACACACATATATACACACGTAAAAGACCATAACATTTATACGCTACTATACTACATGAACAACTGACATTATAAACAATAGACACACACACACAAATATACAACTGAGATTGAATGCTAATCATATCATCATATCATTTTTGTCAAGACGATAAATGTTGTTATATACACTTTATATATATGTGTATACATCTGACATTATTCATCACATATCTGTAAGATAAGATTCATCAATTTAGACGATAAAGAGGTCAGGTCATCTTAAAAGGAAGTCTAACAGTTTTAGCCTTTGAAATATGACTATATTGTTATCTAATAATATAATATAGTGTCGTATGACCTAATTAACATAACATAACTAATATGAAAACAATACAGACAGATAGAGAGAGATGATAGCGCCTACTTACCACTTACCACTTACTTACTAACGAATTGCTAATATTATACACTACTGATATTTAGTCATAAACTAAATGACTGGCATCATGCTTTTAGCGATAATCGAATGACTCATATTTCAAATCACTAAAGCATATTTATTTTACTAGGTCTCACACAAGAAGGTCAACAACAGTATCTGCATCAACAAAGAAGGCTAGAAGGGATGCAGAGTGTTAGAGAGAGGAACTGGAATGATGTACATAAGGCCTGAAAGTTGATGTTATCTCACACAAATAAACAGGATATATGCGTCTACATATGCTTGTGTGTGTGTGTGTGCGTGTATGTGTGTTAGTCTGCTCAAAATGAGGAATACCATCAACGAAAATGGTAAACAAATAGTCGTCATTTTTATGTCTCTATATATATTCAACAATTTTATTCCCTTTCATGATCAAAGGCAATATAAAAAAAAACCGTGAAAAATTACTCATGTTCCACATAAACGATAATAAACTCTTTTCCCATTATATATATATATATATATATATATATATATATATATATATATATATATATATGTCATCAGCGCGATATGTGGCGACATCGATTAAACCCATTTTCGCCGCCAAACATGAATAACCAGTCTGAATGACTTCAAACAGGACACATCTAATATTCTATTGTACTCATTCGATCGTTACTTCGTTTCACATATACGAAAGTTTTCAGTCATTTCAGCTTACCAAGTGTCTTTTTTTGGAAAAAGACATATGAAGACTTATCACAGTATAATCACAGATCTCACAGTTATTTTAAGGTCGTTTTCACCATATATTGATTGATATATCAGACCCAGGCGTTTCAAAGTTTGGGAATTATCAATTGGTACACATGCATGACTGAAGAACTAGAAGTTCTCGAGCTAAACTTAAAACCATTCAGTCAAAGGGTAAGAATCCAAAGATTTAACACTTTTCAGATTATTTCCATATTGCTAATTTTAACGCAACTACCAACCAATATCAGTGTTACCCTAAAATTCATCGACTTTTAAAAGGCCTTCGACAGCGTCGATCGAGAGGTGCTTTGGCAACTACTTCGCTACTACGGGGTGCCACCGACAATTATACATCTCATCCAACAGCTGTACAACAATGCTGCATGCCAAGTAATCCACAACGGGAAACTTACGGAATCCTTCGAAGTGAGGACAGGAGTAAGACAAGCTGGCTGCCTACTATCGCCAATGATTTTCCTGATTGCAGTAGACTGGATAATGCGACAAACAGTGGGCAATGAGGAAACATGCATAAAAGGGACACACACAGAGAACTTGGAGGATCTGGACTTCGCTGATGATATATGTCTGATTTCCCACAAACTGGGAGATATGCAAGCGAAAAGCAACAAGTTAGCAGAAGAAGCATCAAAGATAGGACTTCAGGTGAACATAGAGAAAACAGAGGTGATGAAGATTCCTGGGCAACACCACCAACAGCAACAACAACAACTGACAACAATCAGCATAAATGGGAGGAACCTGAAAGAAACAACCTCCTTCACCTACCTTGGAAGCATCGTCTCAACTACAGGCGTCATAAAGAGCATCTCAAACAAACTACAGACCTTCATTAACAGTTGTCTTCACTCAATACTACTCAAGATCAGATGGCCAGAAAAGATCAGCAACAGAGATCTCTGGCAATGAGCGAACCAACCAGGAACCGATTGTGAAACAAATAAGCAGGAAGAAATGGAGATGGATTGGCTAGCTATACTCTGAGCAATGAAACCATCAAGTGACATCACTAGACAAGCCATTGCTCGAGTGGAACCCGAAAGGGAAGCGGCGAGTTGTTCGTCAGTGCAAGGGTGACTTGGAGGAGGTCATGTGAAGAGGAGATGAAAACGTGTGGGCAGACTTGGGGCCAGGTGAAGACCATAGCAGAGAAGCGAACGCAATGGAGACGCACGGCTGAAGCCCCATGTTCCTCTAGGAACTAAAGGAAATAATACTAATAATATAATAAACTTCGTTTAATCCTATCACCCATCTCAAATCTAGCTATCAATGGACACTGGAACTATTATGAAGAATGAATTAACCTCAAAGCTAAAATAAAAGGTGGGCAAACAGGAGAAGAACAAGTAAAAAGGAAAGAATTCAGTGTTTACTTCATTTATGTCATCACACCGAAGTATCATTGTAGTGTGTGCTACTGATAAGATTTATCAGTAGTATATAAAGAGATGTTCATCGGCATAAAACAACATCAAATAGCAGGGAGATAGATCTGATGTCAGAGAAAGCAAATGATACAGCGTTGCGGAGAAACATGGGAGACGTGAAAAGATCACACAGAAACACAATATGAAGGACAGAAGTAGCACAACACGAAAGATCTGTGCAAATGGTGATTTGAAGATAAGGTGTACATAATTTGCCCAACTTCACAATATTATACACCCCATGGTTTATGCTGTGAGTCACATTTACAGACAGTAGAGGTGTTACAGTGATAATATTCCAAATCTGACTAAATTGAAGTGCGAAGAGAAGATAAACAAAATCTCTATGCATATCTGAATACATGCAAAAAGAGAAGACATACTTGGAAAAAAGGTACACATATTAACTCACCTGGGAAATTGCATCCATACAGTGCAAATCGTAGGCATACTTGTTGTTTCGATCGATGGCTATAGGGGTAAATGCGTATACGTTTAGCGATAACAACTGAATCAAGTGTAGTCCTTGCAATATTCCGTGGATCACTATTTGCTTTAAGCACCTAATTACGCATAGAAATAATAGAGAAAGTAAGAAGAAGAAGAAAAAGAGTTCAGTCTTTTACATCATGATAAAATTAATGGATTCACTAGATACAATAAAAGTAAATAATGATATTTGATTCTGGACTAGTGACAGGGAGTTCCTCAACCCAGTTTTGATGCTTGTTAACACTGAAAACAAGGAATGTATGCTGGTCAGTATTAAACGTATACATATATATATATATATATATATATATATATATATATGTACAGATGGTTCAATGCTGAAGTGTTCGCCAACTATGCACGGCCGACTCACTCCTAAACTTCCCTTAGCTGATAAATAGGGAAGGTTGGGTGTGGATTCGCAACCCCACCCCGTAAAAAAGACTTCAAAGCTCTGAACGCAAAGGAATGAAAAAGTGTGTTAACAAACACAAAAGCTTGGTCAGGGGCATCCAGATGACCGCTCCCAACTGTCTAACACTAATGAAAGTGTGTAAGCTGAAGGCTGTTTTTTGTATTCCTTTGCGTTCCGAGTGGAACATAGGGCTTCAAGAATGAGCTTGGAAGTTTCAGTAGCAGGGGTGTTTTTTTTTGGGGGGGGGTTGCTAGCCTCAAGCCCAACCTTCCCTCTTTGTCGGGCCGGGGATCGAACCACGAACCACATGCGTAGTCGGCTGGCATCCTACCGTTGAGCCACCGACGCACACAAGCTGAAGGCTGTAGTAGCATGTAACTTCAAGTTAGTAGTAAGACAGTATTCACTACCAGATAAATAACACTATTTCATTATTTAATATGCTTAGCAAACCAACTGATATGCAGTATCTCAAACTAATTAAAAGTAAACATTGATGATGATTCGCTTAGCCTGATCGATAAGTTTAAGTTAAAGCGTAGGAGCAGACAAAATTAGAATGATCACTGTTGAGTTATCAGTTAAAGAAGTTGAATCACGTTAGACCACTAAATATCTTGCCAGTAGTAGTCATAACCGTGGTTTGTAAGTCTTAAATCAGCACTTTTTATCAGTGCTGAAAGTTCGTTAATATCAACCCACTGAACCACCTTGAAACATATAATCATAGTAAATAGAAAAGTAAGCATTTTCAGCATTGCCTTTGATAGTTATTGTTTAAAACTCGAACGTCTAATTAGTGAACTGTGACTGAAATCGATGAAGAAGCTGAAGTAACAGTTTTTGATGGATAGTAACTAGTAATGGGATCTCAGATGTGCATTTCTTCCTATTTGGGACTCATCAACTGGATGTACCTGCGGTCCCTAGTGAGTGATGGTGTTTCCATTGAGAATTGAACCCAGAACCCATCGTTTCAAACGCCAAAGCGTTATCTACTAGGCCATTTGGGTCGCAAGAGCCACCTCTTGTACAACAGATATTAGTTATTATTTGTTTTCAGGTTAATTTTGTTTTTCCTGTTGTCAGCAGACGCCAAACATTTTGGTCCAATCAGTCAACGGGAAAAACAAGATTAACTTAAATAAGAGAGTAATAGTTTTCTCTATAATGTATATCCCCTTTAAGAACGAATAGTAATAGCTATAACATACGTATACATGTCCGAGGCAAGTTCAAATTTAACGGTTTGAAAACATTTGAGTAGTAAAGATAATCAAGTGTTGGTTTGCAGGGATTTCATTTGATTGGTTATAGGATTTCATCGTGAGCTGATATCGGTTAGGGAACCATTGGAAAACTAGCGGGAGTACTGGGCAGTTGTTCCGTCCTGGTTCGGGACTCTTCATCAGTTAGCACCCACCGCCAGCTTGTAGACCATTAAGCCACTGGGACCCGATCTAATGACCAGCTCATGAATCCCAACTTCTGCCAATTCACGATATAGTGCGACCCCTAGCCAATGCCATTGGCAAGTGCCCGTTCTCACACCCGACCTCCTGTAACCCACTAGTCACAACTTCTCTAACCGATGTCAGCTCATGATGAAATCCTCTAACTAGTTAAGATAATATAATAAGCATCTCATCCAGTAAATTTTTTATGAGGTAGAAAAAGATAAAATGCCTCAAGTTGAAGTCCTGCGCTTGGAATTAAAAGTAATTAGTTTTAAATCCACTGAGACATAGAAATGAACAACTCAATCTCCAATTTTACATTCAACCCCTCTGACTACACATAAGGCTAATAATTTACTTATCTATGAAATCGTCAATGCGTATGAGACACATTTAACTGAACTTCGGGTATGAGAAATGGCGATAAGGCGTAATTAATTACCATACATGATTATCATCATAAACAAAACAACAATAACAACAACCTACGCCACCCATCACAATGCCCCCCCCCCCCTCCACCTCTCTCATGTCGTCGCCTAATAGTCCCGTCATGGACTTCATTTTCTATTTCAAATTTTTTTTCTACATATAAAGTCACATCACATTTATTATGGTGAGAAAAAACATACACAGAGAGAGAGTTCTGTTCATTCACAGACCATTCTATCATCATCATCATCGTCAACATCACCGGCATCATCATATAAAAACAGCTAATCGACATAAAGACAATAAAATAAGGTCATTCCATTTACAACCGATAAACAAACAATATCTGCATATACAGAGAAGAAGGCTCACATTATTAATAATGAGAGAAATGAAACAAAATAATAATAAAATTTTTTAGAAATAAATAAACAAGTCGAAAGACCAAATGAACGTTTAATTTTAATGTCTCATTAAAAATAATATTATTACTTACTCGTGTACCATCACTTTTTACATGTTCATACCAGATACCATTATCTTCCCGTTGGTATCGTAAAACAAAATTTGGCATATATTCTTTTACCTACAATGAGAATCGGCATTGAGAAAAAAGAGAGACAGAGAGAGAGAATAAGTATGATGAGTAGAGAAAACAATTAGAAAATCTAATGCAATAATAATAATAATAACATCAATTTATTCAACATTGAAACATTCACAAACGCATAAATGGTATTGGCGGTAGTTCTAACTGTTGACCACAAAATGTAACAAGTGGCACGACATTCCTCTAAATTTCGGGTGTTAGACGTTTGTTTAGAAGAGAAGTCTTGATAACACACATTCCGTCAATTAAGGTCCACTGAACAGCAGTAGCACAGCGGTTAGGACGCTCGCCGACCATGCACATGGTCTGGGGTTCGATCCCCGGCCGACGCACCTCGCTAAACCAGAAATAAAAGCTGGTAAAGAGGAAAGGTTGGGCATGAGGCTAGCAATCCCATCCTGTAAAAATAAACACTGCTACAGAAACTTCAAGCCTCTAGCTTGAAGCCCTATGTTCCACTGGGAACGTGAGGGAATAAAAAGAAAGAATACAATTTCCAAGTAGAGAATCACTCAATTTTGAGGTTAGCTATTTCGCTCAAAATTCTATAAAATAAACTAGAATATACATATATCAACAAAACGCTTTTCATTCTCAACTAACGCTGTGGTATGACTGCTTCATCGCATTCGTGATGTTGAAACCAGAATTTTGAATGTTCAAACAAATTGACAGTCATAATACACTACTAGTGATCTACTTCTTTTATCAAGACTTCTCTGGATGGCTTAAACAGCTCATTCTATTCTTCATTTGATGCATATCTTTTCTAAATTTGCTCTGTAAGATGCAAGAACTCTCACGCTTATTGTTCAATCTTGAATTACACACTGAATAGTAAAACAGAGTAAAAGGATAGTCAAGAATAACAAAAGGACCAAATTTGTTCTCAAAAAAGATCACACTACTCTATGGACATCAAAGTTCATGCATTTATTACATGTAAGTATTATTCATGTGAAGTTAATCCATTCTAAATAAAACAACCTTCTTTGTAACTGAGCCAGAACAAACGAAAATACCCAAATAAAAACAATTACTTAATAAAAAGTTATTAGAACATCGTGCATCAGTGGCACAGAAGGTATAATGCTTGCCAACCAGGTAGGTGGTTTCGGGTTCGATCCCTAGCCGACGCATTCCTTTACTTCGCTAAGCCAGTTATAAGACTGGTAAAGAGGGAAGGTTGGACATGAAGCTAGCAACCCCATCCCGTAAAACCAAGCCCACTGCTACTGAAACTTCAAAGTTCAAGCTTGAAACCCTATGTTCCACTGGGAATGTACAGGAATAAAATAATAATATTAGAAAATCATGACCCATAATGTAGAAAAAAAGTCCAGAACTTGTTGATTAATTCATTCCAGCTTATCCAATTCATGAAGTAATGAGAGAGAAGAGAATTTCCTTGTATGGCATCTGCTGCTCCCCTAGGTAAATCAGACACACATACACACGAAAAAACATTTAAAAAAATGATGGTTTACTACAAAAAAAAACCTGTGCAGATTGGAAAATAGTAATTTCTATTGCATTCTAGGTTCCACGAGTTGATGCTAAAGGAAGATTGAAATCAAGAAATGACGAACTGTCAGTCATTCTGAAGGTATGGCTGAATCACCATCGACTTCAGATATTCCTTAAGGACTATAAAACTCCTTGATCCTCATTGGTATTCATCAACAACCTAAAGATTTTGGGTTCGACTGCTGATAAGGCAGTAAGTGTACATTGTTGCAGTGCTGAACAAAAGCGCGATTCGATTATCGGCCGACGTACTCATAAACCACGTCCAGTTCACCAGTCAATAGTAAGCCGCAAAAAGAGGGAAGGTCAAGAGTAAGCCTAGCAGCCGCACTCTGTAAAACCAACATTACGGCTACGGAAACTTCAACACTTCAAGCCTGAAACCCTATTTACCACTGGAAACGTAAGGGAATGAAAAAAGAAAGCCAAAGCTTCCGGGTTTCTAGTGGCTCTTTGAATGATATTGGTTTGCAATGAAACCTACCTTGAGATCAATCAATCAGCACGAACCTGTCCGAATGTTACACAATCTATTCAAACTTTGTTTGGAATGGCATATAAGAATCAACTGGAAGGTCCTTTAAAGTAAAGGTCATGATTCTGCGTATCTATCAGTGCAAACAAGAATTCATGAACTACTGGATTCCAACACGGTAGCTGAGTAATAACGTGTTCACCACGCAACCTGAAGATCCTGAGTCCAACCCCTTGGTGGGGGTTGGATATGTTGAACAGTCTCAAACCAGGAGGAAACACTTGTCTAATACTCCCTGATTTCCTATGGTTATCTAACTGATGTCACTTCATGATAAAAATCTGCCTTAATATCAATCGAATTTTCACAAATTCAACATTAAAACCAGAATAGTTTATCAATAGCATTTCAATGTTTACAATACACTGCAAGTCTTAATTTTATTATTATGGATAATTTCAGTCGAACAGAACAGGCAGGCTAAACACATAGACACACGCATGCTTAATAATCTACATGTTTTTCTACCTCTCTCCTAATTTATCAAATATCACAAACATTGTCGAATACCTGAATAACAGTAGTAGTATATATAAATATGTAACACTGATGTGAATAATGACTTGATTTTGAATAAATAATGATATCACGCAATATTTTTATATCTTGACTGTCGTCTGTCTGGTCTCTGCCTGATTCAACGGCTTAAATTTAAACAAAATTCAACTGTTCAATTGTCAGGATTGATTTAGGCAACAAAAATAAAATGAGAAAAAGGACTGTCTCTGTATATCAATTCAAATTCATTTAAATTGATAAAACAACAAAACAATTACAGAGACCTGGAAGGTGGTGGCGGCTGCCAGATGTGGATAATGCATTCATTATCGATGATAACAATCAAGGTCACAGATAACAGTCTATTATTCAAAGCTTCATAACACCATAAACGGTCGGTCGGTTTTCGACATAGAACTTTGCACATATGTGCGGCAGTTCAAGTCGCCACACTCCCTCCTTGTAGCACACAAAGCAAGAGAAGAAAGTAGGAGAAATGCATAATATTGACAGTAAACAGAGGTGTGAGACAAAGGAATAGTAATAACGGAGAACAAAACAGTTCCATTGGAAATCATGAGTCACAAGGAGTGGATGCATCTGCGCTAACCATTGAGAACGATTTTGAGCCATGTCACCAATTGTTTCCAACCATTGGTTTTTACCGTCCCGAGGACCCCAACCAGGAAGTCTACACCTTCCTACGTGGCTTAGACTAACTGTTGTGGATTTCATTCACTGGTGCCATGTTTTGGTTTGACCGCCGCTAGCTCTTTTCCAGCCTGACCCTATATCAGCTAACATTGCCCATTGTCGAGGAAGGCGATGACTAGGCATACGTAACACATGTCCTAACCATCTCAGTCGATGTAATTTCACAGTCTCGTTGACTGATTTCCCCTCCTTACCTAGCACTCGACGCCTAACCTCAATATTGCTCACCTTATCATACCACTTCACGCGGGAGATACAACGCAGACACCTATGATCGAAGACAGCTAATCTTTTCATGTCTTCCATTCTCAATGGCCAGGTCTCACAGCCAGCCATAAAGGAGGACGGAGCGGACTGTTGATCAGTACACACGCCCTTTAGTCGATAGTCGGATATCGCGTCTACGCCAGAGACGGCGTAAACTGGCATATGCGAAACTAGCCCTCTGTATTCGTGCTGAGATTTCGTCGGAGATCAACCCGTTGACACTAGCTGATGGTACTTCCCAAGTAAGTGAGGCGGTCAACGTGCTCTACCACTTCACTTCCTATTTCTAATCTAGGGGTCGGTGAAGTCCAATCCTGCAGCATCATCTTACATTTTACAGGGGTGAATCGCATGCCAAACATACGAAGATTGTTGCTCAAGGTGTTCAGTAGACTCTGCATTTTGTCAGCGTTCTCGCCCATAAACTGATATTATACACACACATAGGGGGTAATCAAGGCTAAAAAAATAATCAATCGATAAAAACTAAGAATAGAACCGCAGAAACGCGTTTCACTTGATTTGAGACCTATCAAAACTGAATGCAGCAGCGTGTCACTTAAAAGTCTAGAGCATAATTATTACTGTCATAGGAAAACTTTTCCGTGTATTTCCAATGTCAATTTACACGAAGAAAAACCCTCATTAAGCTGTGTGAAGTGTATGCTGATCAGACTTTACATCACAAAACAGTGGTAATGAAACAACTTGACAACTGAACTGATATATGTATGAAATGCATTCAATGGAATATCATCATTGCCAAGCAAGCAACCAGCTGTTCATATGGCATGAAAATTATTATCGGTCATCGCATGAATGAAAAAAGAAAGAACACAAAGACTCTTAAAAAAACAGACTGGGGGTAATAGGAACTTCATGCTAGGAAGCAGAATAATTGGAGTAAAACAAAAAGGTTATCTGAAATGTTCTACTTTTTTGTCGTGTGTACACAGAAAGACATTTTCATGAGTTTCGTTATGCTCATATATATATATATATATATTATATATATTCGAGTTGTGTATGAATTAGAGGGGTAAAACACCCAACCAACCAACCAGCCAACCGAGAAAGCATTTAGTAACAATAATAACGATATAATACTGAAATAGTTGAAGTATGATGATTTCTCATGGGAATTGTAAACTAAAGTTACAATTGTTAGAGAGTTATGGGGAAATAAGAATGAGATACTGAGTTTTGTTACATAATCAGTCGACTATTTTCGTCAACGAACCAAAAAACAATAATAATAATAAATAGTAGTCATATCTATGAGACAAGTTAGTTATACAATACTTCATTCTTAGTCAGTTACTATTATTTCTATGAAAACATTATTTCGGTTCGAACAGTGGCATACTCGGAGGGCACACACACACACACAAGCAATACATGTGACTGACTGAGTTTCAACAGAGAAAGAACTTTG